AAACTAATAAATAAAAAGTTGTTGTTCTTGGATATTCAAATTAATTGTTTGATTTTAAATTAAAATTTGTAAATTAAAACTGTTTAAATTTATCTGGTTTTGACATCTATCGGCACTCTAGAGTGTTAGCGTTAACACGTCATGTGACCATATCGATGACGACTTACATGAATTTACACCCCATCCAAACCTGCTTATAGAAGTTTTCACTTCAAAAATGAATGTGTTTTTCCATTTACTAGATACCTAATCAGATAATTTTGAAGTCGGTGCCAGCCGACAATGCTTTAAGATATGAAAATCTAAGCTGATAAAATTAAGTAAAATGTCCACCTTGTTTTGATAGAATTTAGGTATGACTAATAAAAAATATATTAAAATTAATAATAAAAATATTTTTGTTATCGACAAAAATATCGCCTGACGCATATATAAAAAATATACAGGTGAGGTATCCTCTTTTTTTCAAAGTCGGACAAAAGTAATAAATGTTCAAATCTTATGGGGAAAAGGTTTGAAAAACTTATTGCTATCTTACGACATCAAGACAATGCATGCTAAGTCATCAACGTTTGCCCTTCATAAGGCGGCTTTTGGGTAAATGATTGGTTATATCAGCTGTCAAAATTATTGTCAATTTGTTTTATGGTATAGTATGTAATTTAGATATATTATATCGTTTGAAGATCAAATGACAAAGGAAGTAAACAAGAGAATAGTAAAAAAAGTATTGGGCTCTAAAATATAAAGAAAAACAAAGATTTCAGCACATCTTTAAAGATCAAGGTATTTAATACATGTATACTTCCACATCTAACTTATGGCTGTGAAACATGGGCTTTCACTGCAACAAATAGAGCTAAACTAGCAACATGTCAACACGCAATGGAAAGAAGCGTGAAGCCTCAGAAGATGTTATAGGGTTAAAAACATAGATATAAGGAAGAAAATCAAAATAGATATGCTATATAGAATAGACCAACTTAAGTGGAAATGGACTGGCCATATGATGCGCTCGAAGGAGGAAAAATGGAGTCGAAAAGTCATAAATTGGTATCCCAGAGACTCAAAAAGAAATAGAGGTAGACAACACCGAAGATGGGAAGATGAAATTAAAATGACAACGGGTCCGTACTAGAGAAGAGTAACGAGGGACAGGATCCAATGGAGAGAGCTAGAGGAGGCCTTTGCCAAGATGCAAACTGAGATAAGGGATATTTGAATATAAGTATTTTTTATTTTTTTATTTTTTTTTAAATGGTTAGGAATTAGAACTTAATACCTATATAAAATGTCTACATAATATGTAACATTCTCAGTAATAAAGGCTATTTTAAACTTGCAATAATTAGGTACTATTCAATGCAATATATTTATACAATAACCGTTCGTCCGCGTTCCTTGCCCCGATTATTAAAAAATTATTTAAAAAGCTGAATAACAATACACTTCATCTTCCCAGTTAGCGAATTAAGTACAGGATATTTGCCACTTAAATTTTAATTTAATCAAGTGTCAAATTTGACGCTAACGGAGATAAAATCACGTTCGAACAACGTAAATTCGGGTTTGATCATCCGTTAGACAGGTCTTTAATTAAACTAAAAAATACTTTAACTTAATTAGATTGCACGTTTCGTGCAACAGAAAATCACGATTCTTTTGATTAAATTAGTTTAATAAGCACTTAAATTTTAAAAATTATTTCGTGCAACTCGGCGATAGTCAGTCGACAGTCATAAATTCTAATAGAGCTTTTGTTTTACATTAGAAAATCCTATTTATTATTATTTTATAGAAATAAACATTAGGTATGTTATTATATGATACTTATTTTCCGTATTTCTTTACAAGATGTATAGATCCAAACAAATATTGTTATAATAGTTAATTATTATTATAGCTATGCCCTAATTTTCCTTATGACGATATTTTATTATATGTATAGATGTCAAATATTCCCGTAAATCTAAGAAGAATAAGACTTAAAGTTTAGTATTCAGAAAGAAAAAAATACATTGCAGCCCACACGTAGTTTAAATTCTATTATGTACTAGATTAATGTAACCTAGACATGCGGAGAACGATTGTTCGCACGCAAGTAAGAGATGTGTATAGTGAAGTATAAGTGCTGGAACATTGAATTGTAAGAGGTTGATCGTTTTCAATTGAAATACAATAGTTCTGAAACATAATAACTAGTTTTTACCTGCGACTTTACTCAACCGTTAAAATTTTAAATTAAAATGAGGTGAAAATAAAAATAATTTTAGTGAAATAAAATTGGTGTCTTGAATGTACTCAAATTAACCCCCATAGACGAGAAAGTTTTTTACAATAGATATTGACAATATAAAACTAAAAATATGCATTACACTGTGTGTAACATGACTGATGGATCAAAGCTGGTAGGCATAATATTCCTATATAATATAACCTTCTATACTATAATATAACTTTCTAATTTATGCCTACCAGCTTTGAACCATAAAATCTGAAAAAAAATCAGCTGTATAATAAATATTTATTATACAGTCGTTCAAATAGATTATGGATATCCGTGCTTATGAACATACATACATGGGGGTTAAATCCCTACTCAATAGGTATTGTGGGTACACACCCCCATGCGTGTTCGTCTTTTCGTGGTCGTGGCTCAATAGCATCGGGCAATCCAGCCAGACGTGAAGCCAAGAGATACTGGGAGGTGGCCCACTTCGGTGGACGGTGTACCATGCGGGTTGCTTCTGGTACTTCTCTGACGGCCTGCCGTTAGGACTTCGTGGTTGAGTGCGTAAGCGATCCTACGACGCCAAAATAAGATGGGGGAGGTTCCGTTTGGTTTTAGTGGGCAGTACTGGCTTTTCTATACGGTGAGTCTGACATAATCACCTGTAAGTATACAGGTGGTACGCGTAAATACATTTCCCAATGTTAAAAAGAAGTACTGATGCCCTCGACCAACCAGTTTTTATGATATGTTTTGATCACGCAATTTGATCACCTACCAGTTATGAATTTGCCTCTAAGAAACTAGGCTTGTCAAATGTCCGCCAACTCGTGCCTTTCACATAAGTAAACTGTATTGATAATCATATTGACTCCTGCGTAACCATAACAACTGACATATTTTAGATTAGCATAGATATTATACAAGTATAAGTAAGTACTTTTAAGATATTTCTTTTAAATTGGATAACATTTTGAGCTGAAAGAAGGTTTTTACTTTATTTTTTTAAAGTTTTTACTTTAAAAAAATAAAATAAAAACCGACTACAAAAAACACTAAAAATTAAAAAATAACAGATTGGTAATTTTCATTTAGGTACTATAGATACCTTAATTAAATATTTTCAGAATTTTCGAAGTCAGTGTGCTTTGTGTATCGGCTGGCACCGACTTCGAAAATATCTGATTAATGTAATTAGTAAATGTTAATAAATGAAGGAGTTCTGAGGTAACAAACATAAAAAAAATACAGTTGAATTCAGAACCTCCTCCTTTTTGAAGAAGTCGGGTAATAATAATAAAAAATTATAATTAGGTACTTTACGATTGTAATAGAAGCTAAATTAAATGCACTTGCACTTCATTTATTGTGCATTTAATAGTGTACATTAAATTGATAAGTTAATTAATTTAAATGATTGGATTTCGATATAACATTTTCTCTTACTACCTTGTTCCATATAAAGCAAGATTCGTACACATATAAAGACATAAAACCCAGCTGAAGGTAGAAGCTAGCTTACATAAGTACTAGCGATTCATACTCGCTATCTTAGGTGTCTTTTGTATTTATAATACTAAATACAGTTAGCGCCATCTTTTGGCAAATTTCATAACTAACAGAAGCATATTTGTTACTCTGTGTACCAAATTTCATTCATCCAAATATGTCCAGCCTTTTCAGCGTGAAGGAGTAACAAACATACACAAATACAAACTTTCGCATTTATAAATGTGGCCCGAGTACGTCCAAGTAAATGTATACTCTATACAGTGTACCTATAGTATATTTTTAATAATCTGTAGATACTTAAAGGAGATACGAGTGAACTGATCATGTAACTGATGACGCATAGCATATTAATTTTAAACTGTAAATTTCGTTGGTGAAAGTATGTCTACAGCTCATTCGTAAAACAACCATTAAGGATGGGATACTACAATTTAAAAAAAGAATACATTTAAATATTTAAAAACGCTGGTTCGCCTCTAAAAGAAAAAAAAATTCCGGGATAAAAAGTAGCCTATGTGTTATTCTGATGTATGAGCTATATTATTGTCAAGTTTCATTAAAATCCATTCAGTAGTTTTTGCGTGAAATAATAACAAACCTCCTACATACATCTATACATCCAGACATCCATATATTCTCACAAAATTTCACATTTATAATATTAGTAGGATAATATATTTATAAATTATAGCATTGTACTCTTCTAATGCATGCGCTATATCACTGTAAATTTTCATCAAAACCGTTTTAGTAGCTTTTGCGTAAGAATAACATAGTACGAGTATATAGTGTTATTGACTGGAGGCTTCGTGCCCAGCAGTGGCACGTTTAAAAAGACATACTGAATACATACAGTGGTTTGTTATGTTTTACATCTAACATATAACCTTCGTTATAAGTATTTGTGGGTATTTTTACATTGATTTGACGTATTAAGTTATCAAGGAGACTGGAGAACAAAGGTGTTATTTATTCTATTAAAATTTAAAAACCAACATATGGGAAAATATCCGTCAGATTGCTTTTGACAAAAAAATGCTTTCAAGTTAATTGGAATTAAAAAATACACACACACACACACACACACACACACACACACACACACACATATATATATATATATATATAAGTATATATATATAACTGTAGCGTTTCTACAAAAACATATTGTTACGATGTACTGTAATTAATTTTCTGTCAAAACATGCTCCACAGATACAAAAACGGATTCATTAATTTATTATATGTATGTACATACCGGTTCGTTTAATGAAGGCTCCGAACCTGCGAACACTTCTGTACTGGACGTTATATTCACACTTACACAATCTAAACCCATTTTAAATTAAAAAACACTCAAAAAAAACTTCAAACAAATAATATAACAATTAAGTATTTACACATTTCTTAATATTTTTCCAAGAAAATGATGCAATTAAGCATCTAATAATAATTTTTTAATTAGTTTTTGCTTAATAACAACTAAGATACGTGATTTTAAATTAATTTAAAGGTACCAACGTCATGGTACGTCTACTCGTGATATTGTAGTACGACTGACATGCTATGCGTGAGCGCAGGTTGTGGTACTATAAATGTATAGACCCGACGTTTTAATTTCGATCTTTATCAGCTTTCAAGTATATGATGTTTACTGGGATATAACTTCTGTATACAGTGTCGCGTGGTTTATACATATATTTAATATGTATGTATACAAATACATATTGTAACATGCTATTTAAGTTTTATTTCTTTTACTTCTTTAACGTTTAGTCTTTATTTCTCAGAGATGATATATTTTATATTTACCAGCTATCATATACTAAATTTCATCAAAATCTGTTCAGTGATTTTCTCGTAATGCGTTCCAGATATATATTTCTGTATCGATATGTGTATCGATGGCTTCTGTATCGATAATAATGACTATTTGAATAAGATTTTCCAAAAAATATTTAATGTACAGATTCGATTCAGAATTTTATTATAGGCATAGATAAGGTCGGTTTTAATGTAACACTATTGAAGCTAACATTGAAAAATAATGTGTTTAATATTAAAATATTACTTTTAATTAACGTAATAATATAATACGTAAATCTTAAGTTCGTTCATAAGTACATTGTAATGAAATAATCATTTTATTTATGTGGTTATTTTCCTGTTTGGTTCAAGTAAAGGGATAAAGGATCCTTAAGGAGTCACGGGCTTAGGTTTCCGTACTATCATACAAAATATTCGTGTTATTTATTTACCAATATAATTATATATAAATATAATATAACTCCTGTAATGAATGGGAAGTTTCTAGAGCAAAACCGACTCATACTTGGTCAAGTTTTATTTACTTTAAAATTGTACTATAACAACATCACACTAAGTGTGGATGTATCTATATATCATATATTATTCAATATATTTTGTGTAAATATCAAACACTTCTTCATCATCTTCTTCTTCTTATCCTTATAGGGATAGGGAACGCTACCTACCACTTTCAAACTTTTAATTTACTCATTTCTAATTTTGTCCATCCTAAGAATTCCATACATTCATCTCAACATAGTCATGGACCTTTAAGTACGGATCTCTAAAAATGCAATAAACTCGATAACTGTCATAGAGGTGTAATTGCATAGTGATATAAATTAAAAAATATGTATTTTTTAATCTACTGCAAATAGAAACAACGTGCGATAGTTTAGTCATTAGTGTGTTGAGGATCTAACTTTAGTAAAAAACAATTACGAACTTTTGAAGTCATTTTAAGGTCGGCTTAACTTTTTTATTTTATCATTTATTATTTGACGCTTTTATTAGTTTCACTTATAACTAACTAACAAACAATATAATCAAATCTTGAAAGTCAATTTTAATCTACTTTGAATTGTCATATCAAAGTGAAACTTTGGATGTACACAAGGTATCTTGGAGCTGATCTGATGATGCATCCAGATGGTGAACAGTGGACCTCTTCAGTAACTACCCACTAGTAAACCCCTCGAGTTTGGGCTCATATGATTCGTGTTTACGAATCCCAAACATTTGAATTCATGAAAAGCGTTTTTTTAGTTTTATTTTAAACTATAATTATTATTATTAATGACATAAATAGAGGACTAATATTTCTCAAATAGAAAGCCACACGAATTACAATTACCGTGCAGAACTACGTACGAGAGTTAGTATTTATAACGAAAACCAGGTGATATATTGTTATCACTTCTATATTTTAAGAGTCTATGTACCGCTATCTCCGAGTATGATTCATGCACGTGAGCGTGAATGTTAATGTATTCGTTCATTTGGTTTCGTGTCCGTGTGCTTGTCAGTCTGTAGGTCAAGAATTAACCAATATTTTAGATAAGTATAATAGAAGGTATGATTCGATGTTGCAATGCTGTAATTTAAATAACCTTTATACATTTTTTGAAAGCTTTTTAAAAGTTACTTTTGACAACACGTTTGGTTCAGTTTGCAGTGATCCCACTTGCTGTGCCAGCGGTCGCTGGATTGAGTCCCGCTGGGGGCATTCGTTTGTGTGATAAGCACGAACGTTTGTACTCCAGTGATAGATGTTTATATTTATAATATGTATTCTAAGTTATATATGCATATTTATTATTTATTGTTATTACTTTCAGGCAGTTAAGTTAATCTCATTTTTTATTTGCTTTACAATAAATGTTATCACTTCAAAATCAAGTTTTGCCTTAACCACATTAATAATTGGTCAGTAACCAATAAAGAACGGCCACCTGGTAAAGTATTTGCCGACGGTCTCGGTTTAATTTCCGGTTTGAGTAAATATTTGATTGATCCAGTTTTGAAGTAAGTTTTGCGAACATTGATTAAACTAAACAGTTTTTTTTGTGTTATTTTTTTAATTTTTATAGCATGTGCTCATAAAAAAACTCTACATGCAACTACCATTTATTATTTTGCATAAAATTTATGTTCTACGCCTACGGACACTATATAGTGTGATAAATAGTAGCATATGTTCCGGGCCATAAATTATTTCTATGCAATAAGCCTAATTCGCAGTTCCTTTATTGTAGAAAAATATAAACTAACACTCTATTTGTACAAATTTTGAACTTCATATGAAATGGTATTGTAATCTTTATAATGATAATACTCTTATCTTGTCATCTACAATGATTGTGGACCAAAATAACATGTTATCTGGAAGGATTTAGCATTTGCCTGCGGCACAACACGAGTGTTTGGCTATTTCTATTTAGAAAAAAACTAGATAGGTACAGCTTCGTTTGAATTAATTTTAGATATCGTGTAGAACTAACAGCCAGCCCGATTTAAGTCAATTTGACACCTTAAATATATTGTTTTTCGTAACCACTTTATCAACCCAATTCATTCCATTATGTTAAACGAGTTGAATTGAAATTTGAACTCCATCACTTGATTTTCTAAGCAAGCGCGTTACCACTGGTCTAGCACTGCCTTTTATAGAATAGCATTGCTATGCTACGATATAATAATTCAAATTAGTAACATATAAATTAGTGCACCATAAGGTATAAATTATTTTATCCATGGTGGTCCATAAACCATTGAATGCAGATAGCGTGAAATTCGCCTTTTGAGTCATCGTCTATATAAGGTTATAGCATGACGCATAAATAGGTTCTGTGAATTTGATCCCCCCATACTAATATCATGGTATGTTCTTTCAGATACATAATTAGTTGTGTTTCTGCTATTTAGACACATATGTCATTTTTTACCCGACGTCACAAAGAAAGGATAATATTTTGAATGTATATATGTACCTACATACAAGTACATGTCTATTTTATTTGAACATTCCAACTTAAACGAATTAATGTTGTTACATATTGTATTATTGTATTACTTATATTTCTATAACTTTTCCGTGAACAGTTATATCAGATACTACTTTTTCCCGCGGCTACAAAGACGTACCTACATAATATGTACTTCAATTTGTTGGTATTATAATAATACTAGCAAAAAGCTCTAAAATAGTAGGTTTCATATAAACTTTCATCCGCTATTTTACCCCTTTATGGGATAAATTTCGGAAAATGCTAAAACACGTATTTAATTTATTGTATTGAAGAGCATTTATACCAAGTTTCAAATAATTCTGAACATAAATATTTTTTGCATCGTATTATAACGTGTTTCCCGTGAGAAAACCCGTGTAAAAAGTAGCCTATGTCACTCTCCAGCCCTCCAACTATCTCTATACAAAAAATCATGCCAATCCGTTACTCTGTTTCGATGTGAAAGAAGGAAAAACAAACAAACAAATAAACAAACAAACACACTTTCACATTTTTTTTCTTTCACATATAGAATATTAATAAAGATTATCAAGATATATTTTTTATCTATTCCTTAATTGACGTTATAATGACGTTATATTATTATATTTTGAGACATTTAAAAAAATCTTGTTTCATAAACCAAAAAAGAGAAAATAATAATCAACACATACATAAGAACAAAATAAAATTTTACTATGAATATATCAGAAATAAAATCGTATGAAGAACAAGCGGTGGATACAATAGTATCAGTACTAAACAGGGCTAAGGAGACGCTCGGAGAAAGGCAGACTTTGAAGCAACTTGCGAGTTTGTATTGTTGATATTATACCCACCATATGCTTAAATTTGAATTGAAACTCATAAAATTATACGTTTTCTACTAAATAATTTCATAGAAAAATAACATAAGTACAGAAGATAAAAGGCCAAAAATTTAAGAAAATATCGGTGAATAGGTATAATGATGAAAGACTACTAAGAAAAGATTCTTTCACGTCACTCTAGGTTTGAAAAGGATAGTTTTTTACATGAAGTAATCTGTTTAATTAAAATTTCTTATTAATATTTAGATGCAACGAAACACAAACTCAACAACACTCTCGCTTCGATCTGGTTCGTCCCTAGGTACGTTTTAACGGTTAGTATAAATATAATATGCATGTATAATAAATATAAAAAATCCTCTTGTATCACTCTATCTATTGCTGAGAACTATATTAAAATCCGTTGCGTATTTTAAAAGATCTAAGCGTACAAACAGTGGGAGCGACTTTGTTTTATACTACGTACTAGTATAGATTTCGGGGTAAACGAATTATTTCCATTGTATCGATACAGTAGAACATACTACGAGTAACAACGTCAAGTAATAAAGATTTAAACCTATTTTAACTTAATATATTGTAGGTCTAATTCTTTATGCAATTTAGGTCTTTACAAAGAACACCTAAATACTAACTTTTATAATACCTATCGAGTTACATCCATTGTGTTTTTTATATGAAAGTGATATTAAACTGCGGGCATGGAAACTGTAAGATGAGCTAGAGTCTAGACTTTCAATATTTTAAACAGCTTTATATTTTGTAACAGCTGCTTATTAATAATAGGCTCGTAGTACAATATGATATTGAAAAGAAAAAAATATTTTAGCACAAAAGAATATATGGGAGGTATCCACATTCTTAAATATAATGAATTTTTAGGGTTTCGTAGCCAAAAATGGAACCGTTATATGTAATTTCGTCATGTCCTTGTCTGTCTGTCCGTATGTCACGAAAATTCTTACTAATCTAAAACTGTCATTACCTCCAATATTCGGAGACTATTGGAGGAAGAATTTACACTTATAGATTTTTTTTAAATCATTATAAATGACAATTATAGGTTCTATTTATTTATTACATATTGTAGATTAACGACAAGGTACTATTAATGTAACAACGATTTGACTCAATTATCGAGATAGCGAATACAGACAGACAAACAAACAAACATTTACATACTTCTACTTTGTAAACATTCCTTATATAAATTACCTTACAAGATTGTAGTTATTCGTGAGTCACTGCATTCTCTGCCAAACTAGGAATAAAATTTGTAGGTAAAACTGTTATATCCAAGTAAAGGAGTCTAACTTAAAATACGTGATAAAACCGCTAATTATTTTCCTTCTATTAGAATTTCCCAACATCAAAGTTCATGAAGTAGGACTTTTGTATAAGCGTTTTCTAAGAAACGACACGAGCTTCCTCGATTATTACATTACACGAGCTTCTACATTTTAACCATCTTCAAATAAGGCTATATGTAATATATTCATTCGGCTAAAACATTTTTTATTATAATTTATGGAGTTATGGTACTTATAGAATAAAATATTTTTTATTTTATTATTTGATTTTATAGCATACTAGCGACTCACCCTCGCTTCGCTCGGGTTCGTCCCTACTTACGTTTTAACGTTAAGTATCAATTTCTCAGAGATGAAATATTTTCCCGCAGTAAAAAGTATCCTATACCTATGTTAAGCCGACTAACCAACTATCATCATACCAAATTTCATTAATATTCCTCCAGTGGTTTTTCCGTGATGCGGTAACAGACAGACAGACAGACAGACAAAAATTCTAAAATCTATAGATTCGGCCTCTGTATCGATAGTAAAAAAAAAGTAAACTTTAAGAAATAAATTAAAATATTTTTTCACATTAAAGTCAGTCGGGATGTCCTCACGCCTCCTGTTAAGGTGCCTCTGACTGCCCTAGAAAATCCATTGGTTATATCTAGTGAACACCTCATTAGAAACAGTATAGAAAAGAAATGGCGATTAACAGACACGTTTATGTACTATCTGAAGTATATGGACAGTTCGAAAGACGAATGCTCTCGGTATTATTATTTTGAGGTAATGTACCTATATTATTAGGGTTTATTAGGTATAATATGAACAGATATTAAAAAAATGGGTTATTTTTTTTTTTTTTAATTTAACAATAATTCGTCACTATCGAACTGTATTAATGCCATCAAAAGATGGATGGGCGGAGGAACAGTGGAACTGTACAAAAGCTTCTAATATAATATTGTAATGTAAATAGTAACAAAGATCTGATTATAATTAATAATTAAAGTACGAGAGTAAATATGGCGAACCTTATTCCCACATTTTTTTAATCTGGCTGAGGCATAAGACACTTTGTTCTGAAATTAGCGGAAAGTTAGGACGTGTTTAATTCTCCATTCTACGTGACATTGGCGAAGTAATCTATGCTCAACTAGCACGTTTTGAAGCCATTAACATGAGAATTGAATTCATGTGGCTCATTTTTTAACCGACTTCCAATTCCAAAAAGGAGGAGGTTCTCAATTCGTCGGAATCTTTTTTTTTAATGTATGTTCACCGATAACTCGATGACGCCTGAACCGATTTGGAAATTTTTGTTTTGTTTCAAATGGTATAGTTCCCAGGTGGTCCCATATAAATTTTATTGAAATCGGTCGAGGGTTTTTTAAAAAACTCAACAATAATTTTTTTTTTTTAATAAATTGTTTAATCGAATATGTTAATAAAAAACTTTCTTCTTACAAATTACCTGCTTATTACGTCTACACTAAAAATGGAAACCTATATGAAAGCCTACAATATTTTAAGATATGAATATCTAATAGGTAAATGTTATGTATTTTACGTATCGAAATATATTAGATTTACTTTGCATCGGCTGGCACCGACTTCGAAAATATCTGATTAGGTATCTATTCTAAATGAAAACCTCCGTTTAGTTATTTTTTACATTTTAGTGCGGGAAGTCGGTTTTTATTTTTTGTTAAAAAGTTTTTATTTTAAAAATGGTCCTGTTTTTGTTCTTAGGCCGTATTTAGCCAGCCTACAGCCGCTTACCCGATCCCCCAAGCGACAGCCTCAGTGTTTTTTAGAGTAGAAGACAAACTTATCGAGCCTCCAGAAGTAAGAGGAGTACCAATGGTAAGAATTTAATTTTTAAACTACTAGACCTCACTTCTTCCAATGTTTGGAACTGAAAACTGTAAATAAAAGATTATATTACAATAATAAAAGTAAGATTCACATCAAGTATATAAGTACAAAATGTACATTGTTCATATGTTACAGGCAAAGTAACAAAGTCCAAGTGCCGCGGCAGCGGCCGGCGATTGTCATAAATGACTAGAACTTTAAAAAAAAATATAATACTTTCTTAGATTTACGCGAATATTTGACATTTTAAATAAAATTATCTTTACGCATTATTTCGCGGATTTATTTTGATTTTTGGTTTCCGACGTTTCGAATGGTTTAGAGCAATCATGGTCACGGGAGAGTCTAAAATTATTGTAGACGTCTCAAGGGCTCTCGGGAACCAAAAATCAAAATAAATCCGCGAAATAATCCGAAAAGATAGTTTTATTTAAAACAATATATAAAATAACTAGTTAATGTGATTATTTCTGTGTCAATTATCACTGTGTCTAAATTGAGTAGATATTATATATAATGACCAAACAAAATGTTAATAGCTTTTTAATCACTATGACTGTAACACATAAATAATATATGTATCTCCGACTGCATAATGCTATATTTTTTCGTTGATTTATTTCCATTTTTAGTCGCTGTTTACATAGTCTGTGTTTTTTTAATTTTTGTAACTTTTTTCAGTCCATGGATTAAAATAACATTTTGCTAGAAAGTAACATAATGCATTTTATAATATTTTTCTCAGTAATAATATCTTCTTAAGATCTTAAGATCTTAATTAATAATAGAAAGTCTTAAGGGTTTAATGATCCCATCATAATCTTTTATTTGATTTGATGAGAATTGAGATCACGTCAAATACATTTTCAGATGACATTCAGGGTCGAAGGCCACCGCTGGGACCACGATGTGCGCTACGTGCTGTTGATACCGGACTGGATCCTCGCAGTTATTCAGATGAAGATAAAATTATTCCGAAGAATTGAGGAATTAAGACTGTTCTAGAATGTTAAAGCTAAAATATGCTTTATTTACTCTTGTTATATTTTTTCAATACAGATTTTTAAATTTTTATAACACTTATCAATCTATAATTTTATCTTTTTATTCAGTACTAGCGACTCCCCCACGTTTCGCTCAGGTTCGTATGGAATAGATATAATAGATATGATGAGTTTTTCCTTTACTTGAAAAAAAAAAGATTCCGACGAATTGAGAACCTCCTCCTTTTTGGAAGTCGGTTAAAAATGATTGATTCTCCATACAAACTTTCGCCCAACCCCCATACGAGATATGAACTCGCGATCTCCTTCATAGTAAGTTAGTAACTGTCCCTCAAAATTTAGTAACACGTGTTACAGTGCCATAACGCTTAAATAAAAGTTGCATTATATAAATAATAGCAACTCACCCTCGCTCCACTCGGGTTCGTCGCTAGTTACGTTTTAAAGTTTAGTATAGATTTCTCAAAAATGAGATAATTTCCCGCGGTAATAGCAATAATCTATATGTTGACCCGGATAACCAGCTATCACCATACCAAATTTCATTAAAATCCCTCCAGTGTTTTTTTGTGATGCGGTAACAGACAGACAGACAAAAATTCTAAAAAATATAGATTCGGCCTCTGTATCGATAATAATGTCTATTTCAATAAGATTTTCCAAAAAATATTTAATGTACAAATTCAGCTTAGTTACAATTTTATTATATGTACAGATTATATAATTTTTATTAAATTTTACAACAAAATACAAATGTGGTTTAAAAGTGAATCATTATATGCATTCTCAAAAGAAACACGGATGCAAATAATTTATTTAAATAACCCGAATATCCTTGAATATAATTGCATACCAAAGATTTTAAAAACGATGCTGAACAAAGTATAAAATTTATAGCTAATGTAGTTATTTCTTATCTTATTTTTCGTTTCGGGTTTCAAAAGGTTACAGATACGATTTTTTTTGTAATAATTTATATCGAACTAGCGCCTCACCCATGCTCCGCTCGGGTTCGACCCAAGTTACGGTTTAACGTTTAGTATTATATATATTCCCGCAGTAAAAAGTATCCTATATGGTGACCCGGATAACCAGATATCATCATACCAAATTTCATCAAAATCTGTCCAGTGGTTTCTCGTGATGCTTTCCCAGACAGGTCGACAAAAATTCTATAAACTATAGATTCGGCCTCTGTATCGATAATAATGACTATTTCAATAAGATTTTCCAAAAAATATTTAATGTACAGATTCGACCCAGTAAGAATTGTGTAGTACATTGTGTGTCTTAGCATTTCTTGACGTAAAACCTCAATAAATGAACATAGCACGATCTGGGACTAGAAACCAGGACCTTTGGATCAGCGCCCTGCGGCCGTACATACTAAATAGCTACTAGGCTATATTTAAAAGTTCATTAAAAGTAATACCTTAAAATTTTATTATTTAAATTTTAATACACATACAGATTTATCGTAATTCAGTATTTTATCGTTCTACTAGCATTGCCCGCGGCTCCGCCCGCGTTCAGATGACCAAGAACCAGATTCTTAGGTTTTACATATTAGTATACTCTTACATTGCAGTTTTTGGATTTTTTCTCAGAAATGAGATATTTTCCTGCGGTAAAAAGTATCCTATACCTATGTTGACCATTTTTTTTTTTTTTTTTTTTTAATGTCGGGAAATGCATTGACGCATACCACCTGATCCCCCAGGTGGTTATGTGGGGCTCACCGGCTAGAAGAGCCGGTACTACCCACTAAAACCCGACATTCCCCTCCCCTCCGCCTTAATGGGACGCCGCAGGATCGCTTGCGCATAACTACTACGGCGCCCCGGCGGCAGGTCTGCCAACGCCTGACCACCACACCGATGGGGCTGCTCCACAGTCAACTCTGCTACACCAGAGAGGTACCCGGAGCAGCCCCATTAAATCGAACCTCCGCCCACCGAAGTGGGCCACCTCCAATCGGCTGCAGAGGACAGGGAGAGCGGCAACGAAACACCGACACTCCTCTTCCCCTGCAGCCCCACCGCGTCCGCCATCAAACGGTGGCGGCCCCGTCTAGGCCGCGGAAGGTAGGGAGAACGGCGCACCGAAATACCGGCACTCCTCTCCCGCCGCGGCCTACCCCTCCGCCGGATGCGGGCCTGCGACCCCAGTCCCGCAACCGGCACCCATCATCCGGTTGTGGGACCAAGCGGTCCCACCACCGGTGGTCGCAACGTCTTCGGCTCGAGGCCTAGACGAGCGGCCCCATCCAAGCCATTTGGTCCGCGCCGGATTTCTCCGGTACCACCCGCCGCCCTAAGCGGGTGGCAATACCTATGTTGACCAAGGTCAACATAGGTATTGCCACCTCAATCAACTATCATCATACCAAAATTCATCGAAATCCCTCCAGTGGTTTTTCTGTGATGCGATAACAGACAGACAGACAAAAATTATAAAAACTATAGATTCGGCCTCTGTATCGATAATAATTTTTATTTCGATAAGATTTTCCAAAAAATGTTTAATATACAGATTCGGCTTAGTTACAATTTTATTATGTGTATAGATAAGAAAATCGAACGAGAGATCTTTCTTAAGCTGACATTTATGTATTTTCTAAGTAAATGATCTGTGGTAAAAACAAGTTTTCATTTCTACGAACTATGCTTAGCATTTAATTTGTGGTATAGTGTAAATTAACTTTGCTTTAAGCTATACGGAAATAATTTATAGAATAATAATTAAGATATTCTATTATCTTAGCTACAGTTGAAATTTTCAAAGGTCAAATCTATACAGATAAATAAAATTGAAGTGTCTGTTTGTAATGTCAAAATAACAGCTTTTTACTAAATTCATATGAAATTATATACGGTACATATAATATAAGAAAATCACTTTTTTTAAATTTGTGTCTGTCTGTTTGTTCCGGATAATCTCTGAAACGGCTGGACTGATTTTGACGGGACTTTTATTTATTAGGCTACTTTTATTTTAGAAAAAGAATTAGGATTCCGCTCAAAAAAATTAAAACGTACCTAGGGACGAACCCGAGGGAAGCGAGGGTGAGTCGCAAGGTAATAAATAATTTAAGAATATGTTATTTTACACGTAGATATAAGCAATGAAGCAACTTAGTACAAAAATACTCGTAACCTTAAAATATAATGTAAAATCATTTTATTTTCCAAATCAAATAATTTTTTAATAATGTATTTTACCTCAAATTGTTTAACAATTGTTTTTTTTATCATTTCTTTATAATTAACTCGCGACTCACCCTCGTTTAGCTCGGGTTCGTCCCTCGCTTCCTTCCCAATACAAACTGTCATCCCCATTTTCATCCCTTTAAGGAATGATTTCCGGGATAAAAAGTATCCTATGTCCTTCCCAGGGTCTCAAACTATCTTCTTACCAAATTTCATCTAAATCGGTTCTGTAGATCCAGAGATTACCCCCTACAACTTCACAAACTTACAAACTTTACCTCTTTATAATATTAGTTATAATTAATAAACTATACTTATACAGACATCTTTGGTGCACTTAATACTTACATAATATTATGATTTTTATATTATAAGTGTTAGTAATTACAAAATTTTATTTATTTTGATTGAAAATTATTTAACTCCCTTGTCATTTAATTTCTAATTTTATTAAATTAAATTTAACTAAAAATAAAAACTTTTTCTTAAATAAAAAAATATAAATATATTTTTATACATCCTTGTTGGTTCTAAAACTTCTACCCTAACATTATATTAGCATATTCAACACTTAGCAATTTTAGTTTCTTAAAAGAATTTCAAATTTACATATTAAATTATTGCCCATGACACGAAAAATCCAGTCCTCAATTAATAAATACGATTTAGATCTTACATTTCGCGTTCCTAACGTTTAAGCAGAATCGGAGCGCTTCTGCAATCTTGACATTCTTCGTGAAGAATTATGGTCAACTTTAGAGTTTAAAAGCTTTCAAATTCATTTTTTTATTACAATTTTAATTTAATTATTTTTGTAAAAAACAGTGAAAATATTTAGTACGTTTTTGAGATTTCAGGTGTCGTCAGTTTATTTATCAACAATTTTCTTTTAATATTTAGGTATTTCTGTCTATTTGGACATTACTTTAGATTTTACTTTGACAACACGTTTGGCTCAGTTTGTGCTTAACAAAAAGTATTCTATATGTTGACCCGGATAACCCTCCTATCATCATACCAAATTTCACCAAAATCCCTCCAGTGGTTTTCCTTTGATGCGGTAACAGACAAACAGACAGACAGACAAAAATTCTTAAAACTATAGATTCGGCCTCTGTATCGATAATAAGGACTATATCAATAAGATTTTCTATAAAATATTTAATGTACAGATTCGACTTAGAATTTTAATATATGTACCTATAGATTATTGCTATTCGATCGACATGAATTCAACTTAGTTTATGTCGTTGGCCATTTGCGTAATATCTACTTTCACATGCACGCGTTTATAATACTAATAGAAATAACGCTTATACTTGCAGATTAGTTGAAATGTAGAAGTTTTTAATACGAAGCCGATACGAGCCGAAACCAAAGGAGACATCGAAAAGTGATTTTTAAGTTTTTTTAAAAGGTTTTTTTACAAAATACTTTCTTAAATTTACGCGAATATTTGACATTTTTAAATAAAACTATCTTTTCGGATTTTTTCGCACATTTATTTAGATTTTTGGTTCCAGATGTTTCGAATGCTTTACAGCGATCATGGTTACGAGAGAGACTGAGCTTTTTTGCAACTTATTTCATTTGTACGTTTCGTCTGTCTAAATATCTGATAGAAATTTGAAATCCTTTCATCTAGTTAAAATCCAGAATGTTAATGTAACTTCAATACTAATATACCTAATGCAATTTAATGCTTACGTGGGTAGTATAGAGTTATTCGAAGATAATGGAGGCCAAAGAAGCTCCTTTAGGAAGTTCACAATTATACAACCGATTTATC